TGTACAGCTATTTTTAAAAGGGAGAGAGAGAATAAAGTAGATCTATTGTGTACCACTCATAACATTTTCTAAGAATGTATTTTAAGAAGGGGCGCCTGGGTGGCGCAGTCGGTTAAGCGTCCGACTTCAGCCAGGTCACGATCTCGCGGTCCGGGAGTTCGAGCCCCGCGTCGGGCTCTGGGCTGATGGCTCAGAGCCTGGAGCCTGTTTCCGATTCTGTGTCTCCCTCTCTCTCTGCCCCTCCCCCGTTCATGCTCTGTCTCTCTCTGTCCCAAAAATAAATAATCGTTGAAAAAAAAAAAAAAAAAATTTAAAAAAAGAATGTATTTTAAGAAATGAAAGAAAGGTAGAAAAAGGGAGAAAGGAAAGAAGCAAGCAATTTGAAGGACAGCATATACAGTGTTATTCCATTCATGGGAAACATTTTTAAGGGAAAAATATACGTAACTGCATAGAAACTTCTAGAAGGATACACAAGACCAGGAGCTATATGGGGAGCAGGCAGAAGCATAGGGAAGAGTCACTTGTTTACTTTTCACTTTAAAACCTGTCTCTTTTTAAAATCATGAACATGTGTTATTTTTATAATTTAAAGACTAGATATTTAATGATTAAAACAACAGTGCACTGGTGCTGACAGTAAAATTCCAACTCAGAGGAAATTAATTTCTATGAAATCTGTCATTCCCCAACAAAGTCAGAAAAATGAAGCATAGCTATTCAACATACACAGCAGGTTGGCTTGTCATGACTCACTCTGATTTCACAAATGGAGATAAAAATGCCTACCTTACCAGATTAGAAATGGTCTACAAAATGTATAAAAAGCACCAAACACTTGCCACACTTAGTAAGTGTCCAGTAAAGGTGGTTGTTATCCCACAGCCCTCCCCTGCTGCCCAGTCCTGACTAGTGTCAATGACCAATCGAGGATGATTATTGCAAAATGGAAGATTTAAATTCCATCCCAGGTGGGGGCACCTGGGTGGCTTAGTCTGTTAAGCATCCGACTTCGGCTCAGGTCATGATCTCATGGTTCGTGAGTTTGAGCCCCGCATCAGGCTCTGTGCTGACAGCTCAGAACCTGGAGCCTGCTTCGGATTCTGTGTCTCCTCCTCTCTCTCTCTGCCCCACCCCCACTCCCACTTGCGCTCTTTCTCTCTCCCAAAAATAAATAAACATTAAAAAATATGTCAAAAAAAATTGCATCCCAAGTGAATGTCAGCCCTCGAGGAAGATCAGAATATACTCCTCAATAATGAAGGCATTTCCTCAGGATCTGCACATGGTATTGATGGGGTTTTGGAGTGACTGGGGATTGGAGCCGTCAGCCAAGAAAGAATTCTTGAGCTGTCTTTGGTATCAAAAAGGTGATTTTATGGAAGCACGGGAACAGGACCCGTGAGCAGAAAGAGCCTCACTGGGGTTGTGAAGAGTGACTGGCTATATACATACTATGGAGTTTGGGGAGGTAAAGGCAAAAGTGAGGTCTCCAGAAGGACTTTCATATGCTAAAGAAGACTCCTGAAATACCACAGGCCTAGCTATTGTCAAGCTAAGGTTGTTTTCCCTCTATCAAGGAATTAACATTATGACTGTAGGGGGTGCCTGGAGAAATGCTGTACCCCATATTGGCCTCAAAGTAATTGTCAATGGGCTGCAGGTTAAAAGGAAATTTAGTTTTATGTGCCATTTCCTTTTGCCTTTGTTCCCCACATCACTACTGGGGCTCCAGGAAACTGAGTCCATATTGATGAGGGAGCATAAGGCAGGCTGAGGGCAGAGTACAAGCTAGCATCCCCCCCTCCCCAGTACCTCCAGGTGGGATATGTGTGACAATTCCTCAGGCACTCCTGGCTACCCAAGAACAAAGCAAAGGACAGAAAACAGATGGTTAAACTATTAAGAGTCTCCATCAGTTTACAAATATTTTAGGACAATGACAAAAATAAGGGGGGGGCAATCTTATCAATAGCCTAAAGTCCACGAACTCCCTACTGTCTTAATATGAAGGCTCTGCCAGAGGGAAAAACAACCTTAGCTTGACAACAGCTAGGCCTCCAGTAATCTGTGAGTCTTTAGCATATGAAAATCTCTTTGGAAACTTCCCTTTGGACTTTACCTCCCCCAAGTCCATAGTATATAACCAGTCATTCTTCACAACCCCAATGCAGCTCTTTCTGCCCACGGGTCCTGTCCCCATGCTTTAATAAAATCACTTTTGTACCAAAGACGTCTTCAAGAATTCTTTGTTGGCCATCAGCTCCAAACCCCCACCATCACCCCAAAGCCCCATCAATAGGTCTTGGAGATTAGCCTATTGATAAGATTGCTTTTTTTCTTATAATTTACTAAGATATTTGTAAACTGATGGAGACTCCTGTCCTGCATGACTGTGATCTCTATCAGTTAACCGTTTGTTTTCTCCTTTCCTTTGTTCTTGGGCAGCCAGGAGTGCCTGAGGAAATGTCACAGGTATCCCACCTGGGGGGGGGGGGGG